TTACTACGGGGACTACCTGGGATTCCGTGTGTTCAAGCTCGTCGATGAGGGGAACGGGCTCGATAGAGTTATGAACTTTCATAGCCATAATGTTGACAGGGGTGAGTATTGGGAAGAAGTGTGGAGTCTGGATGGGCATGCCGTGTTCATTGGGGCTCACCAATCGTTTTCCTTTCCGACTAGTAAGGGCGGTGGTGGTGGTGGCGGCGTTGTGAATCGGAATGTCGGTGGGATTAGAGGCGACCACATCTACTTCGCACTGAATCGTGTTTGTTGGGATATGAAAACATTCGGAGAGGCGAATTGGGATGGTGTGTTTGATGTTGCCAACCAGAAGTTCCAGAGGTTTGCTGATGAACGTTACAGTGATAACAGGACGCGGCATCCCATCTTTTGGTTCATTCCTGTGCCCTGGTAAATTGAGTTTCAATTTCCGCTCATAAAACAACAACCCTACTGAAATGTGTGGCATCTTACGAGAATGATGATTGGTTTTATTACAATTGCAGGGGACACAGTAAAAGTGGAAGTAAACATCAGAAGAGAAAGAAGAGGAAAGGGAAAAAGCAAAGGGAAGAAACAGGGGTAGCATCACGAGTAATTGAAGACAATTTGTATAATGTGTAAATTTCAAATGAACTCTAAACTTTTGAATATTTTTTGGGAACATTTCCTAAGAGATGCATGTTGTTGGGAGTTTTCCAATGGTACAAGTGCCTGATCCTTGATTGAGCTAAATGCTACTAAGTAGCTTTCAAGGCTTACTTTTATTGTTGGATCTTCATCAATCATAATCATCAACTTTTCTCTTATACTCCAACCCTTCTTAGTTCGATGAGTTATTTTATACTATTTAAAAGAGGATGCACCTCTAATTTTAACGAATCAACTACCTTTGGATGATTATCTATCTATACATAATATTATGGCAATTCAAAAGTAGTTTGTTGCCACATAAGCATTTGGAGAATTTACAAGGTGTCATGGTGTACAATTTTTTTTACAACAAAAAAAGTTAATTAATGATCAATTAATGTAGATATATCTATCTTATTTTAATATTTTTTTTTTATTTTAATGATCATTTATGTAGCTATCTATATCTTCTTTTAATATTTTTTTATTCAATAATTGTTTTTTGCAATATATATGTATAGCAGCAATATACGTATGTTTGGAGAGTGATATATATTGTAATCTTTTAACAAATATATTTGATTCAATCTGATCAATTAATTTTTATTTTTATTTTTATTTTTATTAGAACTTAATACAGTGAAGTTTAAATAATCAACATTTAATAATCAATTGAATTTGAAAAACCAACTATATAATTTTATGTTTTGATTATCAAACACTATCTTTTTCTAATGTTTGTATCTATTAATGAAAACAAGTATTAAACAGCAAAATGCTTCAAAAGTTGTTTTTCATTTAGATAGAAACTTGACGAAGTCATAATATAGTACCTGATTGTACAAATGAAGGCGATAAAGAAAAACAACTTTTCTTCTCTCTTATAATGCATGCTTCCATACGTTATTTTCTCTTACATTTGTTCATATTTCCCCTTATTTTTCTTAATAGTTTACATATTTCGGTCAAACAAAGGTGTTAATTACACTTAAAAATACATTAAACTCTTTATATTTATATATGTATATTATGAATACTTTGAGTAAGAAAATGATATCTAGACCTTGAATTGACTGGAGTTTGGCATATGGTATTATTCTCAAACCCTTCAAGATTAAAATCTAGGTCTTAAATTTATAAATCTCATACCCTAAGATCAATTTAATTCTAAACAAAAATCAACGGTCATGCTTCGTCAAAATATATGCAACAAATTACATGCACAATCTTAGGGGTTAAGCTCTATGATTTAGATAACTAAGACATAGGGTTCACTCATCAAGGATTAGGGTATAGTATCATGCCCACAAATCCGGTTAATTCGTGGTCCAGATAGCGTGTTCTTACTTAGAGTATAGTATCATGCTTAGATATTGACAATAGATGTGACATTACACCAACAAAAAGAAGATATTAGTATAAGTTTAAGCAAATGCATATTTGATAAGTTAGAAAATTATACACCAATGGACCATGTTAAGATTAGAACCCTCGATAGTGTGTGAGTATCTTGGACCGAGATTCTAAACCAACATCTAAACAACGATCATTAGTTAAGGGTGAGTCTAAATTAAACTTCAGGAATTAACAATTGGAACATATTGTATAAGATATTAAATTGAGTGTCCTGATCGACAAATATTATCTTACAATAAGACAGTAAACTTTCAATTGGGATGACCAAATTTACCTAATATTGAAGTACCTTTATAAAAACATTCTAACTAAGTTGTCGTCATCTGAGCAACATCATTGGTTGAGAGCTTTTCCAAACTCGAGATTCATTGAATGACATATATTGTATAAGATAAAATTTTTTGAGTATCGTTGTTTTAATTTATAGACGCACCACATACTCACACATTTGAGTATCGTGATATATCTTTGTGACATGATTTATGATCAAAGAATTGAAACATCATAAGTGAACGTGCTAAGCATTGAGAATTTTTAATTTACAGATGCACTGCATACTCACGCATGAATGCAAATGTATAAAATGTAGAAGATCCAAAATAGTTTAAACATATAGATAAATTGATTAATTGATTAATATAAATGATAAAATGAAACTCACCGGCCAACGGGCCGGGTAAAAAGCTAGTTCCTAATAGATAAATACACATTCAAGTTGGAGCCCTTCTAGTGTGCTCTATAGCACCCATGCTATTATAAAAAAAAGGCAACCTGTTGAGGAGGTAAACCCACTAAATGACTGGTCCCACATCATTAATGGCAATCTTGTAAATAATGAATCAGTGTATACAAGTGTAGGTACAAATAAGAGTTGTACCATATCGTATAAGTACAAGTTTCAGCTGTACCATTGAAGAATTTGTTTCACAAAGTGTAGGTACAACTTAAAGTTGTACCATGGTATAGGTACAAGTTTGGGTTGTACCATAGAAGGATTTTTAGAAAGTGTAGGTACAACATAAAGTTGTACTATGGTATAGGTACAGGTTTGGGTTGTACCACAGAAGAATTTTGAGAAAGTGTAGGTACAACTTAAGGTTGTACCACTAGTACATGTACAATTTTGCGTTGTACCACAGAGGGATTTGTTAGAAAGTGTAGGTACAACTTAAAATTGTACCATGGTATAGGTACAAGTTTGGGTTGTACCATAGAAGGATTTTTAGAAAGTGTAGGTACAACATAAGGTTGTACAACAAGAATAGGTAAAATTTAGAGTTGTACCAAGTGTAGGTACAACTTAAAGTTGTACCATAGTATATGTACAAGTTTAAGTTGTACCATAGAAGAATTTTAAGAAAGTGTAGGTACAATTTTAAGTTGTACCATAGAGAGATTTATTAGAAAGTGTAGGTACAACTTTAAGTTGTACCATGGTATAGGTACAAGTTTGGGTTGTACCATAGAAGGATTTTTAGAAAGTGTAGGTACAACTTAAAGTTATACCATAGTATAGGTACAAGTTTGGGTTGTATCATAGAAGAATTTTGAGAAAGTGTAGGTACAACTTAAGGTTGTACTATTAGTATAAGTACAATTTTGAGTTGTACCATAGAAGGATTTGTTAGAAAGTGTAGGTACAACTTAAAGTTTTACCATGGTATAGGTATAAGTTTGGGTTGTACCATAGAAGGATTTTTAGAAAGTGTAGATACAACATAAGGTTGTACCATATGAATAGGTACAATTTTGAGTTGTACCATAGAAGGATTTGTAAGAAAGTGTAGGTACAACTAAAAGTTGTACCATAGTATAGGTACAAGTTTGGTTTGTACCATAGAAGAATATTGAGAAAGTGTAGGTACAACTTAAGGTCGTACCATTAGTATAGATACAATTTTTAGTTGTACCATAGATGGATTTGTTAGAAAGTGTAGGTACATTTTAAAGTTGTACCACGCTATAGGTACAAGTTTGGGTTGTACCATAGAAGGATTTTGAGAAAGTTTAGGTAAAAGTGAAGGTTGTACCACAAGTATAAGTACATTTTTGAGTTGTACCATAGAGGGATTTGTTGGAAAGTGTAGGTACAACGTAAAGTTGTACCACAAGTACATGTACAAGTTTGGGTTGTATTATAGAAGGATTTTGAGAAAGTGTAGGTACAATTTAAGGTTGTACCACAAGTATAGGTACAATTTTGAGTTGTACCATAGAGGGATTCGTTAGGAAGTGTAGGTACAACATAAGGTTGTACCACAAGTATAGGTATAATTTTGAGTTTTACCATAGAGGGATTTGTTAGATAGTGTAAGTACAACATTAAGTTGTACCATAGTGTATAGGTACAATTGTGAATTGTACCATAGAAGATTTTTAGGAGCGTGTAGGTACAACTTTAAGTTTAGTGTTAAAGGTACAACTCTAGAAAGTGTAGGTACATCTTAATTCCACGGCTGTTATTTTGCGAGAATGAGCTGTGAGAACTTGGCAGCTGTGTGTTTCAATTTCACGTGAGATTTTGACGGGCGTGAGAATGTCAAGTAGTAGCCGTGAAATTTCCTGGGATAGTGAGAACTTCTCTTTGCATCACATCTCACGGCCGTGAGATTTGCCTGAGGAATGAAGCACTGCATTTTACATCTCACTTGAGTATTTTACGGTCGTGAGATTACCAGTTTAAGGTGTCAGATTTACAGTAGGAGACTTTCACCTGTTGAACTATCCCATGTACTTATTATAATGGTGTTTCAAATAGAATGGACTTTTTTCCAGAACTTCAAACTTATGAAAAAGATGATTCATAATGTTTTCTAAAGCTTGACACGAGCATTACATAGATCCATTCACAATGTTCTCTAGTAACCGTACATCATATCAGATGAGATACCCTGTTAAGAAAAAAAAAGCACTCAAAGCATTACATTTGTCTAATAAAACAAGCATCCATAACATGATTAAATCTGTCTAATTAATGCTTAAGTTTAGCTACATGTAGCCCACACCGGTGCATCATCATATTCTAATTGGAAAACATACAAGCACAAACGCAAACACACATAGCTAAGTACTAAGGACTTTGGTTGGCTCATCTTCACTGCCCATCTTCCTCGTTAGTGTTCTCATCCTCGTCATTGTTTTCCTAGATTTGCACATCTTCATTGACCTCGCTAGAGTCACTGCCCTCTTCCTCATTGGTCCCTTTGTCCTCTTGATTTCTTTCCTTGTTTTGGTCATTGCCATTGCCCTCGTCGTCCTCTTCACTGTCCTCTTCCTCATTGGTTCCTTTGTCCTCTTGATTTTTTCCCTTGTTTTGGTCATCGCCATTGCCCTCGTCGTCCTCTTCACTGCCCTCTTCCTCATTGGTCCCTTTGTCCTCTTGATTTCTTTCCTTGTTTTGGTCATCGTCATTGCGCTCGTCATCCTCTTCACTGCCCTCTTCCTCATTGGTGTCATTGTCCTCTTCATTGCTTTCCTTGTTTTGCTCATCGTCATTACCCTCATAATACAAAAAGTCCCTACAAAAGCATCCTAGAAGAAAGAAAGGATTCCTACTGTATTAACCATTACGTACTACGGATGGGGCATTAAGTAATTTAGGCTTGCTTTTTTCCTAGTTCATCTTCCATTATCCGCTAACTGACCTTGAATCCGAGACTCAACACTTCACCTGGTCAAATAAACAACAAGGGATTAAGCCGACAAGGGAAATGCTCGACATGGCACTCTATTCAGCATCTTGGAAAACATAATTTGGGAATTCCTACGATCAATGAAAGAGCATTGAGTCTAAATTTTGTTTGGTCTATGCATGACAACTAGCTAGGGGGATATCAACACCTTCTCTACTTGAACTTTATCTCATGAAATTGTGTATTAGTCCCTTGCTTTCTTGGTTGCTTAGTAGTAATTGAGTTGCATGATGTCAAAGAATCGATTGGATAATAGAAGTAGAGCTAATTACTAATCAAGCAGCCATTTGACATTACTTATCCTTCCACCAAAGCGATTGTGAACACTAGATAATCAATTCTAAAAGAAACCAAAAACTTTCCACAATTAACAAATTAACCCAATACATACAGGATGGTGATTCGTGATTTTATTAGCCACACATTAAACAAAATAAACATCTTGATCCACCACCACTAAGACAAGTTTTCGTTAAAGTCGAAACTAACAATTGGCTTGCTAGTCACATCTTCTTTTTACACTGTCTGGTTTCGATTCCAACATAATACCCAAAAACCTAAGTACTAATGGAGACTTTACGGCCATCATTATTCACATCCAAATATCAACTCAACATCTCTATCATAAGCCTACTGTTGTCAACAAATTCTTCAGAGCATGTTCATTGAACTAAAATGGAGAGTCGACTTTTAGAAGAGAACCTATGAGTAATTCAAATTGGCTAAGATGAACATCCTTTCTTTTACACATCTAGTTACACTAGCACATTAACCCATTCTGCACTTTCACCGAACTATCAATATGAGCTTACTTTTCTCACACAACTCAAATTCAGAATTGTTTTACGACCATAGAACCAAAATTTCCCCAAAACATAGTTATCCATTTCATCAGAACTCAACTGGGAAATAGTCGAAGTAGAGTTAATTACTAGTATTTCAAATAGCAAGTCCACTTGTATTTAGAACTTGTCTATGGATAAAGGGAAATAATATTATCCCGTTCCAGATTCCAAACCCCACCCGATGGCCAAGTTGCGCAAAACACAAACAACCCCAACACTCACAGAAAATCTTCAATTCCCTAATGATGATCACCAATTCATCATCTTTAATACACTATCCATGAAACCCAGAAGCATTATACAAGAACAATCATAATTGAAACTTATAGTGAGCTAAAATGATGAAAAAGAAGGAATAGTTGTCTCTACATATGAGGGCCAAGATTAGGGTTCTTTTAGTGAGACGTTGAGAGAAATGTAGTAGGCGAAGGAAGACGAATTTGAAGTGAGAAATGGAGAAACATTCAGAATCTGAGAATCATCTTTATTACCTGAAAGCTTGAACGAAGAAACACAGCAAAGCTGCAATCAATTGAAGACCCGATGAATCCCCTGCTCAGTCCCTAGTTACAGTGTCGTCGTCAACCTATTTGAAGATCCAGTTCGCCGTCACTGTCGCCACCTTCATTATCGACGAGGAAACACCACCACTGTGTTCGCGCCAGCGGCACACAAAGAGGCGATGAAGCACAATCGCGGGAAAGGAGACACCACGAAAACCCTAATTCAGAATCTGGTTCACCGTCGACCTGCTCACCCTCTTCTCTCTCGACTGGAGATGCCACAAAACCTTGCTCGTCGCACTCGCTTGCCGTCACCCTCTACTCATCGCCTTCACCGTCTTCGAAGAGAACTTGGAGCAGACTTTGCCCTCAATCAAGCAGCTCTGAATCTTGTTCGAATTCTTCCCTCCGGTGACCCGCTAATCAACCCCTTCACTATTGGCGAAGAGACCTACCGCGAAAGAGCACAATCACAAGAGACCCGCCGCGAAACCCAATCTCACTGTTCCCGTCGCCGATGCTCAACAACTTCAATATCGTCAAAGAGACCCACCGCGGAAGAGCATAGTCCACAATCACGGAAGAGGAAACTTGAAAACCCCAATCTCTTTCTTCTCACAGCGTCGCCGTCGCAATTGCCCCTTGATGCAGGTTCACTGTCGCCGTCGCCCTAATTCAGATGCAGTTTCGCCATCGTCGTCACTGCCAATCAACCCCGTCACTATCTACGAAGAGACGCTCTGAAATCCCACAGCAAAAGAGAGGCTCTGAGATTCGACGAGCTCAATCGCTTTACCTGACTAGATTTCAATTTTTTTTAAAATTATTATGCAACGAACCGGTGCAACAGGTTACCATTTCAACGGGTAAAAAAAAATTAATAACTTTAATCCAATGGCTGATATTTTATAACAAGATCTAAGGGCTATAAACATAATAAAGTACCCATCCTATTTAGCATACTAAAACACCTCATTCAAGTTGATAGCGAAGAAACTTTGAATGCCGAAACAATCAAAAGTACACAACTTGATTTCGTGCCATGTTCATATCCTACATGCCATTTCCTCATATGAAACGAAGTAGAGTTACGAAACGTGAATATACCAAAACAACATGGCCAATCCCTATGAATCAAGACTTAGGTTACCTAATTCGCGTCTACGGCCTCGCCGATCCCGCGCCAATTCGCTAAAACACAAATTCTTTCCAAAACGTCTATAATTTGCGATTTTTGAAAGCTTGGAGCGCCGATTGCTGAATTAAGAGCGCGGATTTCAAGCCACCATCAGTTTTTCCATCTATCAGAATAATAAATCTAAGCTACCGGTGCTAGAGAGGAATCCAGGACTCTGTCTCTCTCCCTATGTTTTCCAGAAGGATTGGGGAGGGAAAAGAAAATGGCTATATGGAGAAGGGGAAAGAAAAGGGCTATATGGAGAGATATTTAGAACTCTGCTATATGGAGAGATATTTAGAACTCTGTTTCCGAGCAAGTATGTTATTCACCCTTTTGATGCACGAACAAAGGCGGCTGCTTGGAAGGATTGTGAAAAGGGGAGGTGAAGCGATGAAAGAGAGAAGCAAGGTACGGGCACAAATTGATGAGGAGCTTGAGGCGAAGACGGTTAATTAAGCAGAGTCGGGTTGATTTTGGCAGCGAAGGAAGGGGAATCATGAGCGGAGAAGCCGAGATGGGGCAGGATGCTACCGAAAACAGAGCATGTAAAGGGGCAGGATTTACCAGATCTCAATGAAAAAAAGGAAGAAGATAGAGTTTTTTTATTTTTTTGAAAGAGAGAGATTTTTTTAATGAGAAACGTTGCGTTCTTTTATTGATAATCTTTTGTAGGTGGGTGAAACTTTAGTTTATTTGTTTTTATCATTATAATAGATATAATAGATATAATAACATATTCATATAATTTCATGTGAATTGGGCATAAATAATAATGGAATCAAACTGTTTGTGAGGTAAACAGACCAGGAAACACATTTTTTACTTAGTATGTACACGAATCACAAACTCTAATTGTACGAGTTAATTGTAATTATTTATTTTAACAAATAACACTGATAATATTGTTTATATTGTCGGAAAAATAATAAATTATTTATTAAAATAATATAATATTGACGCTTTGTTCACGCTCTTAAAATTGAATTCTTATAAAATTGACGCTCTCACGCTCTCGCTCCCGCTCCCGCACCCGCTCTCACTCCACGCTCTTGTTACTAAGTCAAGACCACACTATGTGCTATTTGAGGCGGAAATGGAAATGGGCCAGAATTTGAGGGACCAATTCATAAAAATTAAGATGTGAGCGATAGGCTAAGGTGGATAAGATTCCATAGACTGTCCATCCAGCCAATCAGACTCCTCCAACTATGACACCTCATCCTTCTCCAAACCACAAGTTTTCACCCAACAGATTCTCTTCCCTGAGACATTCACTCACACAAATAAACCAGAACCGCAAATCTTTGCCAGTGGCCTCTTCCATCTCTCTCTCTCTTTTGTAAATTACTGGGAAAAGAAAGAGAGCAAACGCTAGCTAGCTAATAATGGCTGCCACAGCATCTCCAATGGCTAGCCAGCTCAAGTCCAGCTTCACTTCCTCCGCGAGGAAATTTCTGACTGTCCCCAAGGGCATTTCCGGCGCGTCCTTCAGAGTTTTGCCCACCACCAGACGCTCTTCTTCCTTCACTGTCAAGGCCATTCAGGCCGACAAGGTAATTGATACTTCAAATTAAGGTCGCGATTTGAATACGCTTTATGAATTGGCTTTCAAATGGGTCCTCTGTTTTTGCAGCCGACGTACCAAGTGGTGCAGCCGATCAACGGCGACCCTTTCATCGGCAGCCTGGAGACTCCGGTCACGTCCAGCCCACTGATCGCCTGGTACCTCTCCAACCTTCCCGCTTACCGGACCGCGGTGAGCCCACTCCTGAGAGGGATCGAAGTGGGCCTGGCCCATGGGTTTCTCCTCGTGGGCCCGTTCGTGAAGGCCGGCCCGCTCAGGAACACGGAGTACGCCGGGGCAGCGGGTTCCTTGGCCGCCGCCGGTCTGGTGGTGATCCTCAGCCTCTGTCTGACCATGTACGGAGTCGCCTCCTTCAACGAAGGGGAGCCGTCGACCGCCCCGAGCCTGACGCTGACCGGGAGGAAGAAGCAGCCTGACCAGCTGCAGACCGCCGACGGGTGGGCGAAATTCACCGGAGGGTTCTTCTTCGGCGGGGTTTCAGGGGTGACCTGGGCTTATTTCCTTCTCTATGTTCTTAACCTTCCTTACTACGTCAAGTAGAGTGGTGGGCGGATAGGGTGAATTCAAACAGCCAGAAGATGAAATGTGTAATTCCGATTTGCCACCATTTTACATTGCTCTGTAATTGTGTATCTATTAATGCTGAAACAGACTTGTGAACAACTGAACATAGCTTCCTAGACATTTCTGCTGTCTGAACATTTCTATCCTTCCTTCGGGGCGAACTGGAATCATTCTGATGTTTTGTTTCTGAAGAGCTGGAATCAGTCTAATGGGTTGGATTTTCTTTGTGTGCTGGGTATTTTTTTTGGGGTTCTGTTATCTGCAGAATATGCCTCTTCGTTGGAGTACTTAATCGATGAAATCCAGCAGTAAGATCTGACTTGCTGTACAGGGATATTCTGCTCCTGTTGCTGGGAAATATGCACGAAGTCACCAAGATAAGCTTAGTAGCTTGATACTTCTCAATCCACCTGAATGAATCTGAACTTCTCTGGCTTCTTAAGGTCTGTCATTTCTGCTTCTAATTTTGGATGCCGAGTAACTAAAACTACTTGTTGGCTTCTTAAGGTCTGTCATTTCTGCTTCTAATTTTGGATGCCGAGTAACTAAAACTACTTGTGCTTGATTCTTACTCCACGCTAATGCAAACCTTCCATCAACACTATACTTATTCTGCAACTTCTTGCTGGGTGAAATTTTTCAGGTGAGGTGATAGATCCTTGTAGGGAAGAAGAGAATTGGGAATGAGAATTAGGGATTGAGAAGAAGAATTTTAGGGGTTTGAGAGAATTGGGGAAGAACAAGAGAAAGATATGTTTAGGGATTTTGATATTCTTATTGCTTAATTCCCAAATGAATGTACAGAACCCATTTTATGAGTTTCAGAGAACTAATAGAAAATAACAAAATAACCACTCCTACCCGGCTCAGGCGGCCGGCCCACCCTCACCCGCGGTTTCTATCATCCCCTTTCCCATCAGAAACGACCTTGCCCTTAAGGTCAAATGTCGGAAAACGCTGTCGGAGGATCGCTGTCTCCTCCCAAGTGGCATCATCCCTCTCCATGTGCTGCCACAGGACCAAACTCTCCTCGATCAAATGTCCCCCATTCTTCACCCATCTGGTATCCAGCATCTGCAAGGGAGTCAGCTCCAGATCCCCATCTGCCGACACCGGTGGTTCAGTCGTCACCACCCCGATCAGCTGCGCCCCTGTACCTTTTCAGTAGGGATACGTGGAAAGTAGAGTGGATACGCGCATCGGCTGGGAGCTGAAGACGATAGGCCACCGAATTAATCTTCTGTAGTACCTCATATGGCCCATAGTATCGTGCCGCCAACTTCTGATATGCTCTCCGGAATACAGAAGCCTGTCTGTAAGGATGCAATCAGAGCAGAACCCAATCGCCAACCTCGACCTCCTCCTCGTGGCGTCCCGCATCAGCCAACTGTTTCATCTTGTTGTTGGCTGCCGCCAAATTGGTCTTGAGCTGCTCCAAAGCCTCATCCCGCGCTCCTAGCCACCGGTCCATTGTGTCCACCGGACTGGTGCCACACTGGTAGCGTACCAAAGAAGGTGGCGGCCGCCCATATAGAGCCTCAAATGGTATCATCTGGATCGCCCTATGGTAAGTTGAGTTATACCATAGTTCGGCCCATGGTAATAGAGCCAACCACCGTCGCGGCTGCTGGTGGGCAAAGCAGCGCAAGTACTGCTCCAAGTAGCGGTTAACCACCTCCGTCTGACCATCAGTCTATGAGTGGTATGCCGAACTCATCTGTAAGGTGGTCTGAGCCAATGCGAACACCTCCTGCCAGAAACGACTCAAGAAAACGGAGTCCATGTCGCTGACAATGGACCTCGGAAATCCGTGGTGTCGTACCACCCCCAGTACAAACTGCTCAGCCACTTCCTAGGCGGTATACGGGTGCGCCAGTGCCATGAAATGGGCGTATTTCGTCAATCGATCAACCACGACGAAGATGACAGTCTTCCTTCCGGAGGGTGGAAGCCCGACAATGAAATCCATACTGATGTCCTCCCACACACGCTCAGGCACCGATAACGACTGCAGAAGACATGCCGGTCGCAAGTGAGATGCTTGACCCTCTGACAAGTGTCATACGAAGCTACATAGTCATTCACGTCCCGACCCATATGGGGCAAGTAAAACAGCGCCCGAATCCGCCGCAGTGTGCGCTCTACCCCTGAATGCCCTCCAAACGGGGAGTCATGGAACTCTTGTAACACGGTCGTCACCAAGGAGGATTCCTGGGGAAGTACAAGGCGCCCTCAAAAGAACACCAGCCCTTGCCGAAAGGAATAATGACCTGTGGCTGGACTGGATCTTGGATTGGCCGATGGGGCGAAGGTTTATTATGAGCCCGAAGGGCCCTTAGTGCGTTGCGTCTTCCGTGGCGGGAGCAGCTTCTCTCTTGTACAAGCAGTGACTGGGTTTGCGCTGACTGCTGTATCCCAACATCCCTGCAGGTACCCATCGGTCTCATTAAGAGCTCCCGGGGCATCCCAGAACTAGGGTACTGGCCCCGTGACTGCCGCCATTATCTCACCCCCGGGCCTCCTCGAGAGCCCATCTGCGATGACATTAGATGGTCCGAGTCGGTAGTGTATCTCATAATCATACCCCGAAAGCTTTAAGACCCACTTGTGCTGATCGGGAGTGGAAACTCGCTGCTCCAAGAGATTCCTCAAACTCTGATGGTCGGTGTTAATGTGGAATTTCTGTCCCAGCAGATATGGTTGCCACATCTGCACCGCAGTGATTATAGCATGCATCTCCTTCTAGTAGGTGGACCAAGCTTCCTTGGATGGAGCCAAGGTCTTACTCGTGAAGGCCACTGGGTGCCTATCCTGTGATAACACTGCCCCATGCCCCTGCCAGAGGCGTCTACCTCAATCACAAAGATCCGAGAGAAATCCGGCATAACCAGGGTCGGGGTGGTGGTCATGGCCTGCTTCAGCTGGCGGAATGCTGCGTCGGCCTCCGATGTCTAAGCAAACCCGCCATTCTTCAACAAATTAGTCAAGGGTCGGGCAATCATGCTATACCCCCTTACAAACTTCCGGTAATAACCAGTCAGACCCAGGAACCCTCGTAGTTCTGTGACAGTGGTCGGAGTCGGCCACTCCACCATGGCCTGGATCTTCTTCTCGTCCACAAGTACCCCTGGGGCATGACGATGTGACCCAGATACTCCACCTTCTGAACCCCAAAGGCGCACTTCGAAGCCTTGAGGTAGTACTGATGCTGCTGCAAAATCTCAAACACAGCTTGCAGGTGCTGCAAATGGGCCTCCCACGACGGGCTGTAAATAAGAATGTCATCGAAGAAAATCAGTACGTACCGACGGAGTTAGGGCTGAAAAATGTCGTTCATAGCCGTCTGGAAGGTTGAAGGAGCATTACACAACCCGAACGACATCACTAGGTACTCATAATGACCGTTGTGGGTGCGGAAAGTTGTATTGTGTGCATCCTCCTCCTACATCCGGATCTGGTGATAGCCGGCCCTCAAATCTAACTTAGTGAAATAGGAGGATCTGTGTAGCTCGTCAAGCATGTCATTAACTGTCGGAATCGGGAAGCGGTCCTTCACTGTCGCGGCATTGAGAGCCTGGTAGTTAGTGCAGAACCGTCAGGTCCCATCCTTCTTCTTAACCAGAAGCACCGGTGAAGAGAAAGGACTAGTGCTAGGCTGGATCAGCCCGGTGGTGAGCATCTCCATAACCTGTCGCTCAATCTCCTCCTTCTGTGAATGACCGTATCTGTAGGGCCGAACATTAATAGCTTCCACCCCTTCCTTCAACTGAATACGGTGATCAACCTGGCGATGTGGTGGGAGGGTGGTCGGCGCCTGGAAGATCTCTGAGAACCTGTCAACGACCCGTTGAAGATCTAGTGCCACCTCCTGCGTCTCGGTGGCCTCCACGGGCCAGCACAACACGGCGAAGTCAGCCTCGCCCATTTCGGTGCAGTCATGGATGGAGATAGGCCCCAGGGCAGTGCTGAGCCCTTGCAACCTCCAGTCCTTATCCCGCCATTTAAATCTCATGGCCAGACCCTTCCAATCCGTGGTAGTTGCACCCAAACTCTAGAGCCATGGGATCCCTAGAATGATATTGAACCCCCTGATGGGCAGCACAAAGAAGTCAGCAGTCACGGGAAAGCCTTGAATCTTAAAGGAGAGCTCGCGGTAGGCTGTGGTACACTGCATAGGCGCACAATTCGCAACCCGAACCACCACCTTCTCCACTTCACTCGCCGCCAACGGTATGGACTTGGCAAGCTCTTCACTGATGAAGTTGAGCGAGAAGCCGCTATCCACCAAAGTCAACGCGGTCATCCCGCCCACTTGGGCCTGGAATCGGAGCGTGCCCGGAGTAGGCAGCCCGGTCGACGAGTTGAGGGACAGTAACACAGCGTCGCCGGATCCCCGCCCCTGCCCACTACCGCCTTCGTTCTTGCGCGACACCCCACCCCCGGTCGTCGCGGTCCCTGCGCGCCCTCCGCCCTGTTCGCCTGCCGCCGTGCTGCGGAGCCCGGCTCCTGCCGTGGCCAACAGCACCGCCACGCCTCCCTCCCGGCACGAAGGCCGGCCACCAGCCTCGAGCGCGCCACCGCGCCCTATCGCCGCGACGGAGTCGGCGTTGCAGCGGTCGTCGCAATTGGGTCGCCCTCCTCCTCCGCCGCCGCAGCAGTCCACCCTCGGTCACGAGCCTCTTGTTTGAGCTCAGCTAACGTGAACTCGATCTGCTGTCGTATACGAGCCCATGCCGGATCGATGAGCTTTGAAGAACTCATGACGGCTCTGATACCAAATGATAGATCCTTGTAGGGAAGAAGAGAATTGGGAATGAGAATTAGGGATTGAGAAGAAGAATTTTAGGGATTTGAGAGAATTGGGAAAGAACCGGAGAAAGATAGGTTTAGGAATTTTGATATTTTTATTGCTTAATTCCCAAATGAATGTACAGAACTCTTTTATGAGTTTTAGAGATCTAATGGAAAATAACAAAATAACCACTCCTATCCTACCCGGCCCAGGCGGCCGGCCCACCCTCACCCGCGGTTTCTATCATGAGGAATGAGGATAGCCAATAATTTACTTTATCCATATATTATGTAGCTCTTACAAACACATGCTTGTGTAGAGATTAAGATACAAATTATAACATGGGATACAAGTAAATAATAATACAATGAGGGAGAGAGAGATGGCGAGATCTTTGCAAAAAGGTGTGAAGGTTTCCTCTGCCACTGCAGATCGATCTTTCAGTGGTTTTTGACTGCTAATCCTTTCCAAGCTTCACTGAAAGACCATGGAAATAGCTGCACACTCCATCTGGCGCTTATCTTCTTGGTTCATTGTGGATAGGGATCAACCCAACACGAATCTTTCTTCACAGCATTCTTCCATCTGTTCTTAAACAACTCCAGCTCAACGTATGACCGATTTTTCACCTAGAAGAAACCACATTTGCAAGAATAAATTAATCAACCTAGATAAAATTATCACTCGTATTAGAAAGAAAAGAAATGGTTTTGAAATTGCCAGCAGGAACAGATGCAAAAGCTTACAGCTGATCTGCCTGATGCTTGGTTGGCACTCAATGGCAGCAACACCTGAGTAATCACCGCCAAAAAGATTGAGATTTCAGAAAGCCGTTAGTATGTATCTTATTGGGAAAACACAATGAAAATGTTTTCTTCCAGACCTTGTCCGAGGTAGAACCACCGAGAGTAGGAAGACCCTCATGCACAATGTACTCTGAATCAACAACACCAATGTTTTTGGTCCGGTCACCCTGTGCACAGTAACCGAGCTGAAAATCGACCCCCCATCCGTGGACCAAGTCATTCTGATCAAGAGAAAGACAATGAGGTTTGAAACTTGTCACACAAGTAGCCAAAATGTTCTGTGGATGGTGCTTAGTTACCTGAAACATATGCCATGCACATCGCCATGACGCCTTCGAGAAAACAGGAGCCATCATTTCTATAAACCTTGAATGAAACAACCATTTTTCTCTTCAGTCAGATATATCTTAAGGAAGCAAGACTTTAGAACCGACAAGACACAGTTTGTTTCTAGTTCTACCCTGTGCATGGGGGAGCTGTGCTGTTGTCAGTGCACTGTCTGGGTCCTATCTTCTTGTATGTCCTTCTGTCAAGACACCATAGCCATAAGGATCAGGATTTCACCATAAACAAGAAAAGTGCAGAGTTTGAAATCTCAGCTACATTTTGTAAAATCTCTTCAAGATTTTGAAAGGGAAACCTGTGAAATCTTCCTGTCGGGTTTCGCTCAGTTAGTTCATGATGCACCTCTGACTTCTCGGGATCAAGTGCTGGCTGCGAGACCTCAAGCCCTTCCGCTTTTACAATTGACAGATATCTGAAGTTCAAACCATTGCAGTGAAAAAGGACATTTATGGGAAGAATATAAAAACAGAAAGTAAGAATGAGATGGATACCTTCCAGGATGGAAATTGTCAACTCCAAGATCTTCATCCCACAAGAAGATGTATTCATACTCCGAAATGATATCAGGATGCAAGAAACGTTTAGCAAACCACCTGTGAGGCATTGTTTAACAAACATAAATTCAAGCAGAAATACTTTTTTAACTCTTCCGATCCATACAAAGCTACAGGACTTGCTGTAAAAGAAAAAAAATACTAAACCATTTCGTTTGGTTGTTAGCAGAAACATGTATGGCTTGGTTGCTCCAGTCCAATCCTTTCCATTCATCCACATTTCCGTCGTAATGGAACAGCATCACGACGAAGTCAGCAGGCGGAAACTACAACATGATAAGGAGAATCAAAACAAAGATTCTACTAGTACTTCCTAGAGCATCACATAAAGAAAACACTTCCCATTCACTTTCACCTTTCGGACAATCTTATCGACATTCAGTTTTTGCTTTATCCCAACTGCCATTGCTAGTAAGCTCTTCGATCTCTTTGCCTTCTTTTCATCGTCACCCCATAGCGATCTCATTTGAAAGTCAGATGTTGCAGAAATGATCCCTTTAGGTAATGTATTGGTTCCATATGGCTTCTCTCCATTCTACATCACACATTATTATAAACTTAAAGAGACTACTGAAATTTGAAACCTCCATTTAACCACAGTAATGGTATAGATAAACAAACCTCACAAATTGCAGATCTTTGGCCATCAATAGTCTGCCCCCAGGTTCCTACTAGCTTCTGCAGAAGCAAAACACTCCATTGACTTATATAGAACAAGTGTTACACCGATGAATGAATCAAAAGTACGAGCTCTATAGTTGTGATTGGGGGTTTCCAGAAGATTACCATTACTGATAGCAGAGTCTGGTGTTGTAGTACCTGTTTATAATCTGTGACTATGAATACACTTCCGATGAAGAATGCAACAGATAGCAAAAGTACCAAAGGGAACCCACGGCGAAGGCATGAATTATGCTTCTGTGGTTCAAATTTAGAAGATTTCTGCAGGGGGAAAACAGGGGAATTGATGAGAACAGCGGGGAAAAGAATAGATCTTTGGCCAAAATTCGAAAGAACCAATACACAGACAGAGAAAGAATTGGAAACCCAGAAGAAGGCAACTCTTTCTTGGTGGGGAAAGTTCATACCTTTTTCACCATGATTGCCAAACTCGTTGAACAGAGCAGTCGAAATCAATAGCCCAAAACAACCCAAGAGCGACAGAGAGAAAGATAATCAGTTTTGGAGGAATTGGAAGACACAAGAGGAATGAGCTTAAGCAGACCTTTCTTTGCATGTGAGCGTTTGAAAAGGGGAGGTGGGGAAGGGAAGCAGTTAGCTTGGAATGGACAGAAAGTGGAGGATTAACCGAAACGTAAGGCAAGGGCGGGGAAGCAGCTGGTGCATGCGGACGGTCAAATTCCATTGGAGGGGGAAAGGCAGTAGCAGAGGAAAGTGCGGCTGTGTAAGCACTAAGCAACTGTTTCTGTTCTTTATTCTAAGTTTAGTCAACTTTTATCACTTTGTTTCCGTCAATTGTACAAAAGAGATAGTTTACTTTATTCATCCATTAATGCGCCTAGATGATCCAGTTAGAAGTTTGTCTTTAACTATATAGTAGGCAAATTATTATTAGAGTAAACACAAAAAAATAGTAAATTTAGTCGAAAAAAAATAATCAAAACTATTTGAAATATCATAAAATAGCCAATTTTTTAATATGTTGGACAAATACATCCTTTTGTTAGTTTCATCGCCAAATATAATATTGTGATGTGGAATATATATAATGCTTTTTTTTATACCTTGAATCATCAATTATTTATCACGATTTTAAAAGTTTGCCAATTTTTGGGTATAACCATTCTTTTATGGAAAGCAAGATTAATTTCATTGCATTAAAGTTCTAACCAAAGAGCAAAACCAAACTAGAAGTACAAAACACAACTAACACTTATGCTAACTACAAGGGTGAAGCCATAGATGCCATACATAGATCTTTAAAGGGTAAATACAATTTAATATCCAAACCTTTCATTTTAAACAATATAATAGCCAAACCTTTTTGAAAACAATCTAATATCTAAATCGTCAACTTTCCGTTCGTTTGACCGTTAGTTGACACTTCAAAAAAGTTCGAAGTACGACGCTTCATCAATATCCATTGATATCTTCTCTGAAAAGCCACCAACATATCGTGGTTCCAAACCCGAGAAGTCCATGACTCCACCATGATGGTATAGAATATCCAAAAATTCAGTCATCTGCAATGCCAAAACAAGAAAACAAAGTTGTATTGTGACAATTTCCCCTAAACAAAGCTTTTTTGAAGTGTCAACCAACGGTCAAACGGACGGAAAGTTGACGATTTGGATATTAGATTGTTTTCGAAAAGGTTTGGCTATTATATTGTTTAAAATAAAAGGTTTGGATATTAGATTGTATTTACCCATCTTTAAACTATAAGGGGAACTAATCCTGGAACTTCATTCTAATAGCCATTCAATTTGAACACGCCTCGCGGGTATTATCGGACCTGATCCGTGATTGGGTGGTGTTTACTCGACTCGTAGTAGCGTGGGGCGGGACATGAAGTTTTTGGCCTATTTTATCTCAATTTCTTACGGTATGTATACATATTTCTCTTATTTTGACTTTTCTTTCACTAGTTAGAGGCGATCTTTAACTTGTTAGACTCAAATACCCATTTTATTATTACTATTTTTCATTTATAAAATGTTTTCTCCTTTGTTTTAACTTAAAAATATAAACTTTGCATGTATTTTTTTCAAATAACATGTAAAATTGGGTTAACCTGCCCCGCTCAATACCCGAGTGGGTTTTACTCACTCCGACCTACTATAGTATGAGACGGGACATGAGTGTGAGATATCCGCCTCCGCGTTGCCATTACTAATTCAACTTAGCATCACCCATGATTTTCCATTCCAGTATCTGCTGCATACATGCCCCCAAATAGGGATGACATATTACCCACCCATGGGTAATTATACCCAAACCCAAGTAGACCCATTGATAATGGGTTAGGTATGGGTGAAGTGTATATGGATTTGAGGGTTTATAGATGGGTTTGGGTTTGGGGCTTCCATAATCTAAATGGGTATGGGTTGGATATAGATATCCATTTACTTGAGGGTGTTTAACTACACATGCAAAAATTGGACCTATTTGTAAAACTTGAAAAGTTTAGGTAAAAAAATGTAAGACCAAAAAAATTTAGGTACCAAAAAGTAATTTTTCATCGATATTTTGAGGACTTATATGCAAACAAAAATAATTTTAGGTACTAAATATGCATGTCTATTAAGTTTGGGTACCAAACTGTAATTTGTATTTGGGCATGGGTACAAACCCAAATCCATTTGATATAAACCCAACTCAACCCAAAGTAAATGGGTATGGGTACAAACCCATCAAACTCTACCCATATCCATTTATTTGGATTTCATACCCAACCCAATTGGGTTGGATAGTAAGAAACCCATGGGTATGGGCAAAGTTGTCATCCCTACCCCCAAAGGCCCAAACCAACCACAGAGAGAGCTTTGTTTCCATACAATCTCCTACAACGTTCCCTCCTAATCTCGCTAGCAACCATAATCCATACTCGTCGAGACCCATCTTGCAGGGTAGGATTAGGATACGGTGACTGTAGACACTACCCTCAAAAGGGTTTGATTTTTGACACTCTCTTTCTTATTGGTCCATTTTCCTTAATCATTTGGTAAGTATTAATGAAAGTTGTAGAATTTAACACTCACATTAAATACACATTGGGAATTAAATATCCCATATTAATTACTTGTTTTTTTTTTAAATTTAAACCTATACTAAACACAATTCTCTCTCCAAAAAAAAAGCAATAATCCCTCTTCTCTCCTCCCTCTCATCATATGCTTCCGCCGTTATTATTTTTCGATTTCTGATTTTTCAGATTTGACTTTTTCGTTTTTTCAGTTATGATTTTTGTACCACTGCACTTAAACTCATATATGATATTTTGTACCAGTGCACTGGTAGCGTTACCAATGCACTGGTAGAGATACCACTACACTGGTAGCGATATCAGTGCACTGGTACAAATATCAGATCTCAATTTAAATGTAGTGGTAGAAATATCAGTGCAGTGGTACAATGTATCACTGCACTGGTACATTTTTTAATGTAACTGTACATTTTTGAGGGTGGCCGGAGGAAGTCTGCCGGCAGGATTTCACCGGAGAAGTGTGGCGGTCGGAGGCTGCTGGAAAAAGGAAGAATGAGAGATAGGGAGAGAGAATTGTATTTAATGTAGATTTAAATTAAAAAATACAAGTAATTAATATGATGTATTTAATTCCCTATAATATGAGTGTTAAAATATATAGATTACTTTAATACCAAGCGGGTATCATTTTTTCAACCCCTTTATGTGGTTAGCAAGCTAACCGAACCCTCTTGCAGGCTTAAAGCTAACAGGCACCATCAATCATACCCTCATACAAACCATTCTCAGGTTTATAGTTACAAGTAGGGGTGTCCAAACGGTGTAGTTAATGTGATAATCGTTTTTATCAGTAGTATTTGGATAATTTGGCTTGGTTAGTTTGGATAATTGGTTTGGTTTGGTTAAACATTTTAACTTGTTTGTTTTATATGGTTTGGTTTTAGACAATCCTAACCAGTCAAACTAAATAAAACAATTAAGTAATTAGCCACATATCTAATATATTATGTATACATACTTAATAATTTGCATAACCACTCAAGAGTCAAACATTGCTCCCTTTAGGCTCATAAAAACTAAAGCTCAATATGGTTCATATACTGTATATTTGTAGTGTAGACCACAACATATGAACACCTAGTTTAGATAAAAATTATACATTATGTTGATGAAAACTTGAAAGGAAAGTCCTTTTCGGCCTATGATAATCGCTAAGAGACTAAGTCAATTCACACAAACACAATACTCCATTAACCTCTTACCATTGACCTATATTTTTATTAATAAGTGAATACTTCTATTGACAGTAAGATAATTGTATTAGTTGCATGTATTTATGTTAAGGGTTAACTATAACTATGTGTTGATTGATATGTTTTATTCAGTACATATATAGCGAATTGATGCATTAACCAATTTTTTTTGTCACTTAATGATAATAAGATGTTATATTGGTTAATCCGGTTAACCAATTAATCAAATTGATTAAACTTTAGTTTTATTAATTTGGTCTTTGTATTAATTTTTGATTATGATATTGTATTCCGTGATTAATAAAATTTAAACTTATTTAATTTGATAATTACATTGAACCATTTGAAAATGGTGAAAACCTGCTGCATAAAATCACATTTGAAATATAAATGACCACGAGACTCAAGGAGGGATAAGCAGAGAGGACACATGACCATCAGACCTTCTTCATAACCTCGCCTTGCCACATCAGCCCTCTGCATATGACAAGCAACATGAACCCTGGCATTAAACACTTCATTCCAGGTTCAAGAACCAGGTATATATATTCTATCCCTCAGCCTATATTATATTCCTTCATCCAGACCTTCTGAGGGGAAAAACGATCAGCAACCCCTGACAATATATGTATATTTTTTTCCAGTTGATTCGATTCACATCAAATACAAAAGTGTACGTGCATGAACGATTTATCACAAATTAAATCAAATCAAATTTCGAAATGAATGCAAGGAATTTGGAAAAGAAAGACAAAATTAAAAGCCTGATCCATATCATCGCCATAATCATCTATCATCTTGATCCTCGTCGTCGTCATCGATCAATAAAGCTTGAAATTTGTTGGCTAGTCGTCCAGTACTAACCTTGTTATTAGTACCTTCACGTTGCTGACCGTGTTTTCTGTAATTGGTCTTTGACTTTCTGTAATGGAAACCCAACCTTTTTTTTAGATATTCCCTAATTAAAAGGTTCAATGTGGTAATAACAAGTTACTCTAACTGGGAACTAGTTTATTGTACAAGTAAATTAGTTGTAAGAAGGGTGAGTTATAGAACTCTTAATGACGTTCATTTGGAATGTCACCTATGTGAGCATTTGGAGTGGTGCCGCTCTAACAAAAGTAAAGGTCAACTTTTGTATATGCTCATGAAACAGGATAAGCACATGGCCATAATAGTGCTACCCTTGTTGGTGGTTGTGTTTTAGAGAAGAGACGAGTACATGTGTGGTGTCTCCGGTTCTAGCTTTGGATCTTGACTCCTAGGCTTAAGCCCGTCATTGATTCGCTATTAACTTTGAAATGCTTACACTAAGTAAAGGTTCAAATCGAAAAGATACCTTTATGTATGCGTTACTTGTTCAAGGCAGGTATTCTCGACTCTTATTGACTAAGTGGGGGATTGTTAGAGTAGTCAAAGAGTAAAGGAAATACCACATTGGTGGGAGAAAGAAAGTGCAAGTTGTTTTTAAGTTTGCTTTCCACTTTAGTTATTGGATAAAGTGGTTAGTGGGCTTTTGGAAAAAGTGTGGGCTATTTAATTGAAACATCCTTTCTTGACCTTCTTTATGCTCATGAATATTCCTACATCCCAAGTCAATCAGAAAT